TACATAGGTTTTGTGCATTTTTTATTTTTTTTAATTTTATTTTAGAGTTGTGGGATTTTGTACATATTTTGTTAGGTTTATGCTTAAGTATTTCATTTCTAGGGATGCTAATGTAAATGGTTATTGTGTTCCTCACTGGCGTATAGGAAATTGATGGACTTTTGTGTATTGACTTTGTCTCCTACAACTTTACTATAATCACATATTAGTTCCAAGATGTTTTTTTATTTTTTTTTTAGATTTTCTACATAGATAATCTGTCATTTGCAAAGACAGTTTTATTCCTTCCTTCCCAATCCTGTTATTTTCTTTTATTCTCTTACTGCATTGCCTAGGACATCCAGTACAAAAAAATAAAATAAAATACAACAAGTGGTGAGGGGGACATCCTTGCCTTGTTCCTAATCTTAGCAGAATAGCTAGTTTCTCACTATTAAGTATGATGTCAGCTGTAGGATTTTTGTGGATGTTCTTGATCAAGTTGAGAAAGTTTCTCCCTATTTTTAACTTGCTGAATGTCTTTTTATCATAAACAAGTGTTGGATTTTGTCAAATGCTTTCTCTGAATCTGTTCATATGATAATGTGATTCTCTCTTTTTAAATTGTTGACACAATGCATTGAATTAATTGATTTCAATTGTTCAACCCAATCTTTTATACTGGAATAAATCCTACTTAGTCATAGAGTATAATTCTTTTTATACTTTGTTGAATCTGATTTGCTAATATTTTGTCAAAAATCTTTGCATCTATGTTTACAAGAGACATTGGGTTAATAGTTGTCTTTTCTTGTAGTATATTTGTCCAGTTGTGGTATTAGGGTAATGCAGACTTCACAGAATGAGTTAGCAAATAGTTCTTCTATCTTCTGGAAGAGATAGCAGATAATTGGTAAAATTTCTTCCTTAAATGTTTGGTAGAATTAACCAGTGAACCTTTCTAATACAGGTGCTTTCTGTTCTGGAAGAGTAATAATTATTGATTCAATGTTTTAAGAGATATGGGCCTATTCAGATTGTTTATTTCAATTTGTGTGACTTTTGGAAGACTGTATTTTTCAAGAAATTGGTCTGTTTCATCTCAATTATCAAATTTGTGGACAGAGAATTATTCATAGCATTTCCTCATTGTCCTTTTATGTCCATGAAATCTGTAGTGATGTCCCTTCTTTTATTTCCTATATTAGGTCTTTATATCATCTCTTTTTTTTAATTAACCTGAATAGAGGATTGTCAATTGTAGTGACCTTTCCAAAGAACCAGTTTTTGATATTGTTGATTTTCTCTGATTTCCTGTTTTCAATTTCATACATTTATGCTCCAATTTTATAATTTCTTTTCTTCTGCTTATTTTGGATTTAATTGACTCTACTTTTTCTAGTTTCCTAAGGAGGAAACATAGATAATTAATTTTATATCTGTCTTCTTTGTAATATATACATTAGGCCAAGCATAATGGCTCATGCTTGTAATCCCAGCACTTTGGGAGGCCAAGGCAGGAGGATTTCTTGAGCCCAGGAGTTTGACACTAGCCTAGGCAACATAGTGAGAACTTATCTCTACAAAAAAAATCAAACAAAATTAGCTGGGTGCCGGGTTCGGTGACTCAGCCTGTAATCCCGCGCCTATGGGAGGCTGAGGTGAGTGGATTGCCTGAGCCCACGGGTTCGAGACCCGCCTGGGCAGCGAGACCTCATCTCTACAATAAATCAAAAAATCAGCCGGGCGTGGTAGCGCATGCCTGTAGTTCCAGCTACTCGGAAGGCTGAGGCGGAATGATCGCCGGAGCCCAGCAGGTCGAGGCTGCGGTGACCAGGAGCGGCCACTGCACTCCAGTCTGGGCGACAGAGTGAGACTCCAACTCAAAAAAAAAAAAACACAAAACAAAATTAGCTGGGTATGGTGTTACAGGCTTGTAGTCCCAGCTACTTGGGGGCTAAGGTGAGAGGATAGTCTGAGCACAGGCATTTGAAGCTGCAGTGAGCCATGATTGTGCAACTGCACTCCAGTCTAAATAACTGAGGGAGTCCCCCAACTCAAATATATACATGTTAAATGCTATAATTTTTACTCTAAGCCCTGATTTCACTGCATCTCACAACTTTTGATATGTTGCATTTTCATTTTAATTTAGTTTAAAATATTTTAAAATTTAGTTTGAGACTTACGCTTTAACCCAAGTGTTTTAACTAGTGTTAGTATGGTATGTATTTCTCCATCCCTATATTTTCAATTCATTTATGTCTTTATATTTAAAGTGAGTTTCTTGTAAACAATATACAGTTGGTTCTTATTTTATAATCCACTCTGACAATCTCTGTCTTTTCATTGATGTATTTAGATCACTGACATTTAAAGTGATTATTGTTATAGCTGGATTAATGCCTACTATATTTGTTACTATTTTCTATTTCTTGCCCTTGTTCTTTGCTCCTATGTTTATCTTCTACTGTTTTTATGCCTTTTGTGAATTTTACTGAATATTTTATAACATTCCATTTTCTCTCGTTTCTTAACATATCAATTATACTTCTTTTTTTAAACTTATTGTAGTTGTTGTCCTAAGATTTAAAATATATATTTACTACTAGTCCAAGTCTACTTTTAAATAATACTATACTGCTTCATGAGTTGTGTCAGTACCTTATAACAACAAAATATTTCTAGTGCCTCACTCCTGTGCTTTCTATCATTGCTATCATTCGTTTCCCTTATACATAAGCTATAATCATTGACTGCATTATTGCTATTAGTTTAAACAAACTGTTACTAGTAAAGAATAAGAAAAATAGAAGTTATCTTTCTTTACCTTCATTTATTCTTTCTATAATGCTTTTTTTGTCGTCATGCATATCTAAGTTTTTTCTCTATATCATTTTTCTTACCTCTGAAGAACTTCTTTTAATATTTCTTGCAAGACAGGTCTATTGACAACAAATCCTTGCACTATTTGTTTGCCGGAGAAAGTCTTTTCTTTTTCCTTCACATTGAAAGATAATTTTGCAGAATACAGAATTCTAAGTTGGTGATATTTTTCTTTCAGCACTTTAAACACTTCATGCCACTTTCTTGCTCAAATGGTTTCTTGAGGAGAAGTTTGATAAAATTCTTATATTTGCATCTCTTTTCTTAAGGTGTTTCCTCCTCTCGCTTCTTTGAAGATTTTTTCTTCATCTTTGATTTACTTTAGTTTGAATATGATATGTCTAGATGTAGTATATGTGTGTGTGTATGTATATGTATTTGGCATTTACTGTATGGTGTCTTCTGAGGTTCCTGGACCTGTGATTTGGTACCTGACAATAATTTGATGAAATTCTCAGTTGTTATTACTTCAAATATTGCTTCTGTTCATTTCTCTTTTTCTTTTCTTTATGATATACTTAGCAAACATGTTACACCTATTGTCATTCTCCCACAGTTCTTGGATATTCTATTTCTTGTTGCAGTCTTTTTTCTCTTCGCTTTATCATTTTGGAAGTTTTTATTGACATATCCTCAGGTTCAGAGGTTTTTTTTCTCTCAACTCTGTCGAGTCTATAAATGAACCTATCAAAATATTCTTCATTTCTGTTACAGCATTTTTATCTCTAGCATTTATTTTTTATTTCTTTCTTAGAATTTCCACCTCTTTACTCATATTATCCATCTATTCTTGCATGCTACTTTTCCATTAGTATCTTTAGCATATGAATCATAGTTGTTTTAAATCTCCATATGGATAATTTCAACATCACTACCACATGTGTGTAGACCTGGTGCTTGCTCTGTTTTTTCCAAACTGTGGAGGTTTTTTTGCATTTTAGTACACCCTATAATTTTTTGTTTAAAACACATATCACATTTCAATGATCAGCCTGAATTTGAATGGACTAAATGCACCACTGAAAAGACACAGAATGGCAAACTGGATAAGAAACCATGACCCAATTATTTACTGCATCCAGGAGTCTCATCTCACTATAAGGGACACACACAGACTCAAAGTTAAAGGATGGAAAATGGTTTCCAGGCAAATGAATCACAAGAGAAGGCAGGAGTTACTATCTTAATATCAGACAAAACAACTTTTAAGCATTCAACAATTTAAAAAGATGCAAAAGTACACTACATAATGATAAAAGATTAATCAATCAACAAGAAATATCCATCCTAAACATATATGCACCCAACACAGGAGCACCAGAATTTATAAAGCAACTACTAAGTAAGCTAAAAATAGACATTGACTCTACAACTGTTATAACAGGGGACTTGAATACCCCACTAACAGCCCTAGATGGATCATAGAGGCAAAAAGTCAACAAGGAGATCCAGAACCTAAACTTGACACTTAACCAAACAGACTTAAAAGATACCTACAGATATGAACGACCATGAATAGCCAAAACAATTCTTAACAAAAGAAACAGAGCAGTAGGTATCACCCTTCCAGACTTCAAATACTATAGGGCTATAGTAATCAAAACAGCCTTGTATTGGTACAAGAACAGGTATATAGACCAATGGAACAGGATAAAGATTCTGGAAACAAAACCTCAATTTCTCAACCAATTCATCTTTGACAAAGTCTCCAACAACAGCCACTGGGGAGATGAGAAACTATTCAGTAAATGGCTGATCACATGCAGAAGATTGAAACAGGACCCCTACCTTTCATTATACACAAAAATTAACTCTAAATGGATCAAAGACCTAAATGTAAAACCTCAAACTATAAAAATCTTAGAAAACACAAGACACCCATATGGAAATTGGATCTGGCAACCAATTCTTATTCAGAACCCTAAATGCCCATATCTTAAGAAATAAGATAGGGGACTTCTGGCAAGATGGTGATGGGGCAGCCTGGTCTATGAGACCCTCTGCAAAGGAGAATGCAGAGGGTCTCTGGCTCGCTCGCCGGGGGCTGCAGATCCCAATGTCAGCAGCCTGCTCTTCACACGGAGCTCGGCCGTGCCAGGGCTGGGGCATCACAGTAGTCTAGACAGCCACTGCACCTGCAGACACAGCAGCTGCCGGCACCACCAGGGCCTCCATGGCAGCCATAGCGCATCGCACCACCCATACCTGAGATGATCCACAACTTCAGTCCTTGAAGACCCTGCAGGCAAGATCTACTGGGATCGCTGCCACCTCGGCTGCCACCGTGACGTCCTACCGGCCGTGGGTCTCCTCCCGTGTGCCTTGAGGCAGGCTCCCATCTCCGGCTTCTGCCCAGCTCCTGTCAGACTTCACCCCCTCTGGGGTGAGCAGTTGAGATATCACCACCTCCTGGTGATTCAAGGAAACAACACCGAAATGGGAAAAACAAGCTTGAAAACGAGACATAGTCCAGATTTGAATGGTGAACTGAGGGTGATCTGAACTGTCCTTCACAGCAGGCCAGGGGAAACTGACTCTAACTGTGAACTAATTTACCAGCTTGAGAAGACAGCTAGAAATCAGAGCAGAAAGGATGTTGGACTTAAACGAAAAGTCTCAGAGTGTGCTCGATTGGTTCTGTTAGTTTAATGACTTGATTCTGTTCCTATTGTTTTGTTCCTTTTTTTCTCTTCCTTTACTTTTCTTTTCTCCTCTCTGTAAACCATATCTTTGAATAGAGTAACATCACACCAATAAGGTGATTGGTTAGCTTGCATGTTAGCATCATCGTATGTTTTAATTTCTTTTTGTATGGGAGCTGGTTAGTCTGTAGCTGTAGTCTATTGTTTTTATCTGTTTCAGTTTAGGTCTCTCTCTCCATTTGTTGATACATTCGTCTGTTTGCCCCCTTATTCCTCTCTCTATCAACCCCCCTCTTCCCCCCACTGTCTGCTCCATTCTCTTCCCTCTGATAACCTCATTTTATTTCAGGGAGTAAACCTACAGCCCCACTGCACGAACAGATTCCAAGGCAGTGGGAAGTGGGTCTCAGATTATCCATACAGCTGTTGGCGTATACCAGGACCTGCAGATAGATTTTGAATCACAGCTCTCCTCTTAAGTAAATCCCAAAACTGCAAAAAGGACCACCCCCAACCTACAGTGCAACTCCAGAATTGCAAAAAGTAAGAGGGCATACATAAGAAGAATAGGAGATTGAACAAG